AAGATTTCATTCAAAAAGAAAAGTAAGCTAATTTTAAGCTCGATATAGTCTGTAAATACATCCCAAATAATATTTTAATATGAACAGAGAGTTCGATACGCATGCATCGAAAATAATCGACCGTTGCTTTGACGAAAACGAAGAATTCGCTCTTCAAACATTAACTGCAAAATCAAAATTATACCTCGATTATAGCCCATTACGATTGGCTAAAGAAAATAATAATTGAATGTTTTTATCAACAAAAACAGTACAAAAACATTTACATGGTAAATGGTTTGGTCATATTAATAATCATGAACATAGCCAAAATACAGCTGGATTTTTGGTAAGCTTACCACCAGCATTCATCCCCGTACGTCTTGAAATTATTACTTCAGTATTAGCTGTATATCTTTATTTAGTTATTTGTTCTATGCATATGTCCATTTCTCATACCTTGTCCATGTATATTTAAATATTTAAAGTCAAATGATAAGACGAAGTAAGCTGGTTTTTAGTAGTTAGTTTCTGCTGATTTTAGGAAATTTAACCTTGAATGCCGTCATATACCCGTCGCAATAAAGCAGGATCGAGCCTCCTTTGTGGTACTGTCTGATCGTATTTATCAAGCAGTCTGAATAGCTTTTGTCTGTTTACTTTTTGGTGAATAAATCAAGTGGATCGGCTCAATGATTGCGGTGAAGTAAAGGAATTTTTGTAACACGGCACTAGGGGATCACGAAAATCATGTAAAAAGGCCAGCTTAATTCTTCGTTAAGAAGTAGATTTAAGGGCGCATATTTTAAGCATATATTGTTGGCAGATACAGGAACAGAATCTGTATGTCAAAGTTGTTCACTTTTGAGATATTGTTTGGGTTGAGTTGTGTAAATACATAAGATATTATAAGTATGAGCGTAGAGACAAGTTCTCTCATTTAGATTTTCAAATCCAAATAAATCAAATTGACTGAAACGACAGTGAAAGTATATGCCTTTTATGCGGATCAAGCAGTGGTTCGCTTTTATGATAACATTGTAAGTATAGCTAGCGTAAATTATTTTATGTAACACACGTAGAATATTTATTTGCTAGAAAGGGGTGGGATCGACGATGTATAAGTTTTCAAAACGTTCTGTCGAAAATGATTTATCTAGCTAGTCAAAAGTTTAGAACTGATCGACGGTCAATTGACAGAAGTCTTTAATCAATTGAATCGAATCTATTTCTTGTTGTCAATATTTTAATTATTTATATATTATTTATATAACGATGTGCCTTTATTGTTTAATTTTGAATAAATAGCATTTAATGAATCTGCAATATTCCATTTCGCTTTGCATAGTGTACGTCCATTATAAAAACCTAATTCATTTAAAACAACACTCGCATCACCACGATGATTACCAAAATACGTTTCGAATTTTATAATAGAACGCTTAAGAATAATTGAAAGAAATGGATGACTACTTTATATTTCTTTCTTTCTTGTTTATAAAATAATTTATACCGTTTCGTTCATATATTTTATGTATATCGTCGTCATCTTGGTCTAAGACTTGATTAACGAAATGTCAAATCAGACCCATATACATGTCAGTGAAAATGGCGGAAGTATGGTTGAATAGAAACACACATCTATGGCGTCACGACAAGCAGTTTCGTTTTTTTACAGGCCGATATTTCTCTCTCATGGAGAGTTCCTGACCTAGGCGACAGATAAAAAAATTTAACTGCATTTTAGAAGAAACTATTTTAACTAGAAGTATAAAACTGATGTAAAATCCTCTCAAAGAGCGTCTCAGGGCAAACATATGTAGAGAATTTGATAGAGGGCGGTAGATGAAAATGGACAGACATCAGTTTTATACTTCTAGTTAAAATAGTTTCGTCTAAAATGCAGTTAAATTTTTTTATCTGTTGCCTAGGTCAAGAACTCTCCATGAGAGAGAAATATCGGCCTGTAAAAAAAACGAAACTGCTTGTCGTGACGCC